CGAAATTTGGGCGGTGCTACAGTCCCTTCAGCGGTGCCAAGTTGACTGTCGGTATATCGAAGTGCTGAAGTGTTTGTACAGTAGGGCTACGATGGCTATCCGAGTACAGAACCAGAGTTCGAAACCTATCCAACTGCAGAGAGGTATAAGACAGGGTGACGTTATAACCCCGAAACTCTTTACCGCTGCGTTGGAAGACGTTTTCAAGCTACTGGACTGGAAAGGATACGGTATTAACATCAATGGCGAGTACATCACTCACCTTCGATTTGCCGACGATATAGTCCTTATGGCAGAATCGCTGGAGGACCTTAGCACTATGCTCAATGACCTCAGTGGTGTCTCCCAACGGATAGGTCTTAAGATGAACATGGACAAAACAAAGATCATGTTTAATGTCCATGTCACACCTATGCCGGTAGTTGTTGGGAGCACTATGCTCGAAGTTGTTGACGAGTACGTTTACCTGGGACAAATAGTCCGACTAGGTAAGTCCAACTTCGACCGAGAGGTCAATCGACGCATTCAACTCGGCTGGGCAGCGTTCGGGAAATTACGGCACATCTTTTCGTCAGGTATACCTCAATCTCTAAAAACTAGAGTGTACAACCAGTGCGTGTTGCCTGTGATGACTTACGGATCTGAGACGTGGTCCTTCACTGCTGGCCGTATGAGGACGCTTAAGGTCGCTCAGCGAGCTATGGAGAGGGCTATGCTCGGAGTTTCTGTGCGTGATAGACTCAGAAATGAGGATATCCGCAGTAAAACCGAGTGACCGACATAGCCCAACGGATTAGTAAGCTGAAGTGGCAATGGGCCGCCCATATAGCTCGAAGAACCAACCGATGGGGAAGAAAGGTTCTCGAGTGGCAGCCTCGTACCGGTAGGCGTAGTGTAGGGCGACCCCCCACTAGATGGAGTGACGACCTGGTGAGACATGCAGGAAGTCGATGGATGCAGGTGGCTCAGGACCGTGCTTTGTGGCATTACTTGGGGGAGGCCTATGTTCAGCAGTGGACTTGTGAAGGGCTGTAATGATGATGATGATGATGAGTATGTAATTTATAAATGTAATTTCAAAAAAAACCGAGCAAAGCTCGGTCATCCGGGTACTTATATTAAAGTAGTACAAAAGTATGCTATAAATATAACTACTAGGTAAAAGGTTTAGAGTTAAAAAAAATTAAATCACAGATTGTTTTAATTTGGCATATTTTTTAATTTCCAAAGTAAAGTTTTTATATAAAATAATACATGCTTAACAATATAAATTTTCTAATCAACATATCATGACTACGAGATAACGCCAAAAGACGAATAATAGCTGTTAATGTGTTGACTTTTTAACAATATTATAATAATACGTTAAATACTTAAAAAAGAGTCAAGATAAACGTGTATTTGTTCAATATTTACTAAACAGGGTATATTTAGGTGACTTAACATTATAAAAGTAACGTTTATTTAGCTTCAACAAACAAACTAAATGTGATATAATATGATGCAATACTACTATACAGATAAGCGGCTTAAACAGTTTTCCCAAAAAAAATTTATTTTTAAAAATCGTTCCCCTAGCTAAAGGATGAAGGAGATTTTAGCTAAAGGAGGTTTGCAATACAACTATGTTTTCACGTACCTTTTTTTTTATAGGACGGGTAACAAACGAGCACACAGTCCACCTCATGGTAAGTGGTTGCTGTGGCCCATAGACATCTACATCTATCCTCAATTACGAATCAAAATGCAGATACGTTGTCACCCGTGAGGACTAAAATGGAATGCCTCGTCTCCAGTAAAAAGGGTCCTCCGGTTTTTTACACTCACCATACGAAACACAGCAGCATTAAGTTACTATTATACGCTGGTATTCTGTGAGAGCGTGGTCCTTTCCCGGTCGAGCCTACCCACTCGTGCTACAACTATACTACTAATAAAATTGCAGCATGGCTCTACCACGTACAAACCTGTATATGTCTTCGCAAATTGTGAACCCAGTTTAATTAGTCTTTTTTTTGAACGGGTGCCTATGTTACCTATGTGTGGTCTCATTTAAATGTAAAACAAACATATCCACCCCTTAAAGGGGAACGAATACGAATCAATAGCGATAAAATGCATAATAAGTATGCATCACAGGAATCTACAACTCTACATAAAGGGAGTCAATATCTCGCTTCTTCTAATACAATTTTCAAATAAGGCAAAAAGAGACAAACCTATTTAAAGATGTTACGTGCAATTCATGCGTATCGTTTGAAATGTAAAGTGGTCACCTTTAGCCTCGTTATACTATGCCCAATATAAGAGTACGTACACTTACATCTTCCGATTTACTAGAAGAATGCCACTCTTATGTAGTGGTATTATGTGACGTTATTTTATAAGAAATGACGACATTAATCTACAGTCATGTCGTTATGTTAACTCGACATCGGTATACTTGAGTTATATACGACATGGATATACAAAATTATATTTATAACTCAAAGTAATTGTGATATTGTCTCACAAACAAATGCTCTTTATGACGTTTCCATTGGTTTCCATACGCTGACAGTTTTTGTAGTATGTTTATAATAATAATTGTATTTTAATATCTCGTGCACGGTTCCAGCACGTGAGTGTCGGCACTAGGAGTAACAGATCAATAATAAAATAAAAAAATATAATGCAACAAATCAAATGTTTCACATTATTTGTCTTTTGGCAGTCTCTGTACGTAATAAGAACTCTTTCGAGTACGGGTTGTTTAGAACAGGAAGACTGAATTACATAATTATTATCGATTAAATTCTAAACATAATAAAAACAAAAATATTTATAAATACTTTAGGATATCTAGACAATAACTGGCAAGATAACTATAAAATATAGGTTTGTAAATATCATAGAATACTATAATACACAATAGAATGGCTATCAACCTTATTTTGTACGAGATTCGGCGACGCCGGGTGCACACATACAAGCAATTACGTCGTATTATCAGTTAATCACTACTACAAACCCGATTCACTGTGTTGACAGACGTATTTTAATACATATTTATTTATAAATAACGTGTTTATTTGGCATTTTCTAAATATATAATATAATTTGCATCCGAAATTTGAAAACGATTGTAACGTCAAAACACATCTTGTGTTGACATTTATACGTGTGAATTGACGTGTTAGTGGCATTTTAGTGGCTACATGGGCTCCGTTCACTCCCCCGTTCTATTATGTATGTATGTATTATAGTATTCAGTGGTAAATATAGTTATAAAAAGATATCCTAAATAGTGTTACAAATAACATCAGAATAGTTTAACACCTCAATATTATTTCGAGTTACCTCTTCATTTATATAACTAAAATAATCAAAATAAAATAAACTACCTTTTTTTGCGATTAATAATGCTTATAATGCAGTTTGATTTAAAAAGTATTGTTAATGAAACTATTTTTTTTTGTGTAAATTGTAGGGCGTATACAGTAATTTTTGTTTCTTCTACATTTTTACAATTAATTGGTTTTATCTCAAATCTTTTTTTTTTTCTAATTTATAACCAATATATTATATTAAAACATTATTTAATGCTCTTCTTTTACAATTTCTCTGTAAACGTTTTATTTTTATAGCTCATAGAAAATATTCCAAAGAAAAGTGTGAATATTGCCTTCATCTGGCTCGAAGAACCAATAATATGCTTCAGAAAAGAAAAGCTAAACATAAACAATTTTCTACAGATGGCTTTGAAAATACAATAAAAAAGTTAAAATTACGGCCCATATACGTCCTACTGCTGGGCACAAACCTCCTCTCACTTCAGAGGGGAGTTAAGGGCAAGGAAGTGTCCGTCGCGCTGCCCCGAACTTTACATGTCTTCAAAATATTTCTTATTTCTCAAACATGTAGGTTTCTTCACGATGTTTTCCTTCACTGTCGAGCACGTGTTAAAGCTGCCACGGCTCTTATTTTAAAATACAGTATCACTTAAATATGATTTATTAACATAATTAAACTGTATTAATAAGTTTGCTTATGTTATATTTGTTATAAAAAAAAACTTAACTCAAAATAGTGGCAATGGAAAATGTTGAATAAATTACAATCCTGTGTTACTGGAAGACATTATAATACTAGCTATGCAAATGCACAGAATTAAGGCACAATAAATGAGCGTCAATTTGCAAGAAACAAATGACATAATATTATATAACCTATGTATAAACTATATTTTTATAGGAGATTCTATGTAACAATTATTATTTATAAATAACAAAAAAATCTTGTTCATATTTTAACTATAAAAATATGGAATGTAATACTATACTAAACTTCTCTGAACTAAATGTCACTCGCAACATTTTGTTCTTCTTCTGGCAGTAATTTCGACACGATTTTAATAAAACATTTAAAAAAAACTACACTACAAATAAAATTTGTTTAAAATTTAATTTATATATTATAATATCATGTTACATTAATTATTTATAGCGTTATGTATTACACAATATGTAAAATACAACCTGTCCAATACGAAAGGGGCACCATATGCATACATGTTGCACTATCAATAAATATTAAAACATCATTTTATTAATAAAAGTAAACCTGTGATTGGCATTTAAAATACATTTCTTTTACGATAATTTGCTTTTTTACTGATTTTTTTAAGTTCTGACAACACAATCGTCGGTGACGATGTATTTGAACGTTTGGTGATTTTTCGCGGGGTAATTTTTTACTAATTCTCTGATAACAATTACATAAACAGAATCATACCTAAAAGCACAATTGCGTAAAGGACATGGTATTTTTACATATTGTATATAAATTGTTACACAAATGATGTTCAATTAGGCACGCCATTATCAGATGACGCTGAAAAATATGTCCTGTTAGGAATTCGGAGAGTCGATAGAGGAAAATTATTATTTATAGGATGGTAGACATTTAGTTTGGAGGTTTTCATAGCATCTTCATCTTGGGAGCTTCGAGGTGCTTGGATATTATAATTCAGATTGTAGCGCTCCAATCTATTAGGATAAAACAAAGTATTAGTTACTTATACGAATCCTTTTTTAGTTTAAACCAATGTACTGATTATGGAACTCAATAGGTCAGGGTGTTCATACAAATTTCATTTATTTGAGTGTATTTACTTTTATAAAATAAGAATTACAAAGAGCATACAACACATCTGACGGTAAGTGGATGATATAGCTCATAGATATTTCTATTTTTTTTTTTGCAGTTAAGTAACCAAAATTCAAATGCGTTCTCTCGGCTGAGGGACTAAGATGGAATGCCTTGTTTCCAGTTCAAAGGATTTCTGGTGTATGTAACTAAAAACTTCTATGTACACTGCTAGATTGGCAATTCGGTATAAAAAGTCACAGCTGTAGATAATGCAGATCGGTGTCTGGCATAGTAAATATGCCACGTAGTTATACAATAGTTACTGTTTTAAAATAAATACGAGATAAAGTTACATATTTATCAAAAGACATCAAATCACGTTGATAAAGAGCGCACATTAATGCGCAAAGTGCGCACAACGTTTTATTAGTGTTCGTAAAATGTTTTAAAAATCATGATCTCAAAAAAATTCGAAGACGTGAAGTTCGTCAACTTGCATTGGGGTTGCGCGGCGGACACTTTCAGGCCCTAAAACATTCTCAGAAGTGAGAGGAGGCCTGTGCCCAGCAGTGGGACGTATAGAGGCTGTAACTTTAACTGTCTAAGTGTGCCACTTGCAAGCGATTTGACCTTCGATCAACAATACCAACTAGATGTCGGGTCGGCACTAGAAATCCATCTCAGTAAATAAGAGCGCACATGAGCCCTGAGCTCTTGCACATGAGAGTGTAGCTCGCAAGGCAATAACGGGAATTTTTTTTATAACGTAAGGCTTTATTTGTTATAACTTAAGGTTGATTTCACACTAAATGTTATTTAATTTATGTCTTTTTCATAGTTTATATTAATGCGGACAGTATTTAGCTATGATTTTGTACGTGACCCGTTATCTAGTTGGTATTGTTGATCGAAGGTTTTGACCGTCCCGACTCTGGCTCGCACGTGACCATGGCGAGGAACTGCCCAGCTAGGTTATACGCAGAGCAACGCTCCGTGGTCCACCGCGCATTATTGCCGATAAGGGTGCCCCCCTCAATGAAACACAAGATCGGGTAATTATAATGGGACAGATCAACCAGGGTCGGGAAGAGCTTGCCACGGCTGATTGCCTATCCTGGCGCGTGAACTGCACTTGCACATTGTTCTTGTACAAGAACAGTACACCCAGGCTGCGGGGATCGTCCAGATAGGTCAGGTAGGTCCAGGTCTATCTTGACACAACAATTGCAGCAACTGTGCTGAGTAGTCACCTCAGCAATAAGTTTTATGTGGTGTGCCACGTAAATTGGTGGGACCTCTATGTGGTGTCAGCGTACTTGAAATACAGCGACACCATCGATGACCACCTGCACCACTTAGAGGTCGCCCTGAGTTGCCTAAAAGGCAGAAGGGTCATCGTCGCCCTTGACGCCAATGCGCACTCGCCACTCTGGCATTATGACTGCCGACACTATCTGTAAAGAGGGCTTACTGTAGAACACCGAAGGCAGCAAGTGGAGGCGTTCATACTCTCCCAGGCACTAACGTCGACGAACCTGCCTGATCAGGATTACACCTTCTATGGGCCTGGAGGGGAGTCTAATGTAGACCTCACATTATCTACTGGAGACATCTACACGAGGGAGTCTACGCCAGAGATCACAACCTGATCACATACACGGCCACTACCAACAGGCCGACCGCTAGCACTGCACCCGTCATTGATTCCCCCGTTTTCGTGACCGGGGGATGGATTGGGACAGGTTCCGGGTGATTATCAAATTAAAAATGGTATGACTGCATGTGGAAAAATCCACGGCCCTCCTGGCGAAGGAGTTCTCATGGGTCATCATCCGCTCCGCGGAGGAACGCCTAGTGGAGCGTCGCCCTAAGGGGTCGGGCGGTATGATAATTGGACTTCTAAATTGGACAAAACTCGGAATGTAAGTTCAGGCGTGTATGGCAGAGTAAAAGGCGTCTGGGAGGTAGGTCAGAGGAGATAGCCAGGACAACTTTTCATAGCGTGCGTGCGAGATATAGGACTATGATGGTGGAGGTGCAGCAGTCGCATCAAACGAGGGTCGCCAACTGTGGTAATGAGGATCCTTGGGGCCTGGCATACAGATTGGCCAGCGGGAGGGTGCGTCTAGCCGTGTAGAGCGTCTATGGTAGCCGTGTAGTGGCGGTTGAGAATATCCACTACCCCATATCTTCCCGTGGGTGTCGTAAAAGGCGACAGAGGGAGACAGGCAAGAGATGGGCAGCAGCATCTTCCTGATAACAACTGTGACGTAATAAAAAACTGCGGTTGCCAACCCGCTCGCCAAGCGTGGCAACTATGGCAAATACCCCCCAATGAATAAATACACAAACAGACGGCCCCCAGTCCCCGGCGGCCCCGCTATTCCTGGCTACGGTGGCGACCATGGTAACGGCGGGGCAGGGGGTGCTAAGAATCTCCGGTGGAGGTTCGGTTGCCACCTACGACGACTCGACCTGGCAACATATAACGCACGCACCCTGAGGACTGACGAGAAGATACTAGAGCTGGAAGAAGAGGTAGACAAGTTGCGCTGGCACATTATTGGATTATCCGAGGTCCGAAGAGAGGGGGAGGACACGGCAATCCTCGAGTCCGGCAACTTGTTCTATCACCGGGAGGGCGACCATCTGTCCCAAGGAGGTGTCGGATTTATCGTCCACAAGTCTCTCGCCAACAACGTTGTAAAGATTGGGAGTGTGTCGACGAGGGTCGCGTACCTGATACTCAGAATCACCAAACGGTATTCGCTGAAGGTCATTCAGGTTTACGCACCAACCTCGGCACATCCCGATGAGGAGGTGGAGGAAATGTATGAGGATATTTCCAGAGCCATACATTCCTCCAAAACCCACTACACGGTGTTGATGGGAGACTTCAACGCAAAACTAGGCACAAGAGAAAGCGGTGAGCTGAAGGTGGGGAAATTTGGAGTAGGGCAACGGAACCGAAGGGGCCAGCAGCTGGCCGACTTTATGGAGAAAGAGGGACTCTTTATGATGAACTCTTTCTTCCAGAAGCGGCCCCACAGGAAGTGGACCTGGTCGAGCCCCGACGGTTCGACAAAAAATGAGATTGACTTCATTATGACGACCAGACGCCAACTGTTCAGTGATGTCTCAGTGATCGCAAGGGTGAAAACTGGCAGCGATCACCGAATGGTTAGAGGCACACTGAACCTAAACGTTAAGTTGGAGAGGTCTCGTCTAATGAAGTCAACGCTCCGTCCCCCCTCGTGCTCTAATCCAGAATCCCGAAACCTTTCAGCTCGAGTTACGTAACCGCTTCCAGTGCCTAGAAGATTGCAATGCAGTGGACGATATGAACGACAAGCTCGTGGAAACTGTCCATGCGGTCGGAGCTAAGTTCTGCAAGACCCGCCGCAGAAGAACACAAAAACTCTCCGATCACACTCTTAATCTCATGGCTGTTAGACGGGAGATGAGGCTGCAATCGTCAACAGATTTGACAGCATACAGGCAACTGAACAGACAGATCTCCAAATGCATGCGGCGAGACTTACGCAACTTTAATACTTCTCGTATTAAAGAAGCGATCGAGCGGAACCAGGGCTCCAAAGTCTTTGCCAGAGATCTGTCTGCCAGAAAGAGCCAACTGTCAAAGCTGAAGACTGAGTGTGGCAACATCGTTTCCGGGACACCTGAGATTTTGAGTGAGATTGAGAGGTTCTATGGGCAGCTGTACACATCATCGTTGGAGCCACACGTAAGTGTGAGTAACGATCCAAGAGCAAGTCTTATCCGACACTATTCCGATGATATCCCGGACGTCAGTCTGAGCGAGATTAGAATGGCTCTCCACCACCTTAAAAACGGCAAGGCCCCGGGCGAGGATGGAATTACAGCGGAGCTTCTGAAAGCGGGTGGAAAACCGGTACTTGAAGTCCTTCGGAAGCTCTTCAATTCCGTCCTCCATGGTGGCACTACTCCGGAGGCGTGGAGCAGAAGCGCGGTGGTTTTGTTCTTTAAGAAAGGCGACAACGCTCTCTTGAAGAACTACAGACCGATTTCCCTTCTGAGCCGCGTCTACATGCTATTTTCGAGAGTCATTACGAATCGTCTCGCACGCAGACTCGACGACTTCCAGCCTCCCGAACAAGCCGGTTTCCGAAAAGGCTTCAGTACCATAGACCACATACATACCCTGCGGCAGATTGTACAGAAGACCGAAGAGTACAATCCGCCACTTTGCCTGGCATATGTGGACTATGAGAAAGCCTTTGATTCCGTCGAAATTTGGGCGGTGCTACAGTCCCTTCAGCGGTGCCAAGTTGACTCTCGGTACATCGAAGTGCTGAAGTGTTTGTACAGTAGGGCTACGATGGCTATCCGAGTACAGAACCAGAGTTCGAAACCTATCCAACTGCAGAGAGGTGTAAGACAGGGTGATGTTATATCCCCGAAACTCTTCACCGCTGCGTTGGAAGACGTTTTCAAGCTACTGGACTGGAAAGGATACGGTATTAACATCAATGGCGAGTACATCACTCACCTTCGATTTGCCGACGATATAGTCATTATGGCAGAATCGCTGGAGGACTTAAGCATTATGCTCAATGACCTCAATAGTGCCTCCCAACGGATAGGTCTTAAGATGAACATGGACAAAACAAAGATCATGTTTAATGTCCATGTCACACCTATGCCGGTAGTTGTTGGGAGCACTATGCTCGAAGTTGTTGACGAGTACGTTTACCTGGGACAAATAGTCCGACTAGGTAAGTCCAACTTCGACCGAGAGGTCAATCGACGGATTCAACTCGGCTGGGCAGCGTTCGGGAAATTACGACATATCTTTTCGTCAGGTATACCTCAATCTCTAAAAACTAGATTGTACAACCAGTGCGTGTTGCCAGTGATGACTTACGGATCTGAGACGTGGTCCTTCACTGCTGGCCGTATGAGGACGCTTAAGGTCGCTCAGCGAGCTATGGAGAGGGCTATGCTTGGAGTTTCTCTGCGTGATAGACTCAGAAATGAGGATATCCGCAGTAAAACCAGAGTGATCGACATAGCCCAACGGATTAGTAAGCTGAAGTGGCAATGGGCCGGCCATATAGCTCGAAGAACCGATAACCGATGGGGAAGAAAGGTTCTCGAGTGGCAGCCTCGTACCGGTAGGCGTAGTGTAGGGCGACCCCCCACTAGATGGAGTGACGACCTGGTAAGACATGCAGGAAGTCGATGGATGCAGGTGGCTCAGGACCGTGCTTTGTGGCATTACTTGGGGGAGGCCTATGTTCAGCAGTGGACTTGTGAAGGGCTGTAATGATGATGATGATGATGATGAGGGTGCGTCTGCCTGCGAATGTGACCAAGGGGACCACTGACAAGCCGCTCACTGACGCTCCAATAACGCTCCTGCATGTTTTGGGAAAGTTATTAGAACGTGTCCTTTTAAGATGTGCTCCCGCGATAAGTCGCGGGATATCCGAGCACACCAGCACGACAGTGACACGGAGTCAAGACAGTGTGCGCGGGATAGAGCCACGTGCAAGTACCGGGCGCATCTCCCGAGATGCGGCCCGTATGACCTGAGGGTCGGTGGGGCCATGGGAGGTGGTGGGTTGCCTATCTGTACGGGTTAATCTTCGCAAAAGCTGAACCGGAACTTCACGAACAAAAGAACACTGGTATGAGTGATCAAGGCTATATTTAAACTTGGGACTTTTAAAAAAAATGGTTTTTGATTGTCTTAAATCCAAATAAGGTCAAATTATTAGATCTTATTTAGGCAAATATGCGGCGGGTCACTAGTTTTTAAAAATATAAATATACAATTAAGTAAGTGCGCAATGTATTGAGGGCGCAGTGTACATCTTTTAGTATGCATAGAAGAAGTCTTTGTTGTTTATGTAGCAGATTGTAGTGCGGTAGTGAGGCAGCGTTGTAAAGGCGTTTTTACAGTGTTTTACGGTGTCGTGTTATGTGCAGGAGTTACGCAAAATTGAGTATAACTTAGTGCGCATTGCGCAATGTATTAGTATTGTTGCGCGCCATAATTAATGCATAGTACATGGAGTCATTCGTTACCACTAGCGCCCTCTAGTATCGAGTAGAAAAAACAGGACATTCGAAATCTTTCTAGAGATTTCCATGCCAGAACTTTGTACACTTAGTCAGTCGGGACCGGTATGTACTCGAACATTCTAGATGTTTCAGTAGAAAATATAACTATGAACTAAAAGTATGATCAGTAGTACAAATGTGTTTTATTATTATAGTTTTTGCGTTATAGCATGGTGCGGGTAACAGTAAAGATTGAACAATGTAAAATTGATTTTAAAAAGCGATTAACGATTACAAAGCAAAGATTAGCGATTATCTATCGATATAAAACATTAAAACCGAAACATTATATTTCTTTATAAGCTACTATGCATGTAAAATTAAGAGAAATTTTAATACAAATTATGACATAATAGTTACACTACAGCTGTTCTCGCGAATTCGCCCGCGTGGTATTTATTACGGTTGGATTTCATGAATTTTAATTTTTTTGCGCGGAATGCTAATTCTTTTTTTCTAAAATAAAAGTAGCTTGTGTTACTCCTTCTAACATCAGCTATCTGCCAGTGCCAGCTATAAGCCGGAATAAATAGACAGACAGATAACCATTTTAAAATTTGTTTTTGTCTTTTTGTTATGAATACCGTATATATTTTCATATGCATTTAGAAAAAGGCTGTTATTTTGGGATTACAAACAGACACTTCAATGTATAGATTATACTATATATTAATTGTAAAATAAAAATCATCTACTTTATGTTGACTGCAACATTCATATTGACATTTTAACAAATAAAATGACTGCCAGCGTCTGTAATTTTTAGTACGGCGTTGACTGCATCGGCAAATTTTCAAGATACGAGTCAACGAATACACAGCCCGAATAGACGCCTAAATAATGAAATAATGATATAAAAAAATAGGTTTTTTGTAGCCATTTTGACAGCCATAAGTTATGATAAAGTCTTTATGACACAATGCGCAATTTGCTTTATATTTTTGATAGTCTGTGGTTGTTCGTTGTGGCATGGCGTAGTTTAGCGTGGCACAGTGGTGGTAAGTAGGCGCTACCAATCCATAAAGTACAACAATATCTGTATGGCAGTTTATCTAAAAAAATACGAAACTTCATAGGCGTGTGCTGTCATTCGCACCAGGCTACAACGCAAAGACTATAGTGTGTATTAAGTTGTAGTTAGTGTTCAGTAATTAGTGTCAAGTTTGGTAATTCCATCGGCAGTTTTTACTGTCAGGAACTCCAAGCTCATAACAGTACTGTAGTGCCTGTTTAGTAGTATACATAAAAGTGTTTGTATTACACATGTGCCATGTGCAATCTTGAATGATTCATTCGTTTGAGCTGGTACACTTAAAATTAATGATGGTTGGTTCATCTGTTTTTGAATGTTCCGATACAACCAATCACAAACAATTGACGGAACTTTTTAATCGTGATTGGTGTGAATTGTGAATGAGTCAAAAACGACAATCCCGAATTATCTAAATGAATTGTCTTTAGTGTAGGGTATTAGAATCCGAAATGATCAATTTGAATGATTGATCCGAATGTACCGGTACGCGTGACGAAATGTACTAGAATGATTCGGCCACGAGAAATGAATGATTGACACTTGTCTAGTTTGTATATAACAGAAGATACCTGTCTGGTTGCGACCGTGGTGGAGGAAGGCGCGTCGGTGCTGGCGACGCAGGCGGGCGCGGTGGGCGGCAGCCACTCAGCCGGCAGCCAAGCTCCGCGCGGCGAGCCGCAGCTCAATGTGAGCGTTACCTGGCTGATTGCGGCGACGGCAGCGAGGGGCGCGGCGGTGCGGGGCGCGGGGCGGGCGCGGCGCGCGGCAATAACGCAGCAGGCGCGCCAGGCGCCGCGCGGTGCGCCGCAGCTCAATGTGAGCGTTACCTCGCAGGTAGAGGCATCAGCGGCGGGAGGCGCAGCGGTGCGGGCGGGCACGGCGCGCAGGAACAACGCAGCAGGCGCGACAGGCGCCGCGCGGCGCGCCGCACCTCAATGGGAACGTTACCTTGCTGGTAGTGGCAGCGGCGGTGGTGCGGGCGGGCGCGCCGCGCCACTGCTCAATGGGAGCGTTACCTTGCTGGTTGTGGCGGCGGCGGCGGGGGGGCGCGGCGGTGCGGGCGGCGCGGGCGACGTGGGCGGCGCTGGCGGGCGCGGTGCGCGGCAGCCACGCAGCAGGCATGCCAGGCGGCGCGCGGCGCGCAGCAGCTCGCGGCGGGCCGGGCCGCGCGGCGGCGCCACGCGCCACGCCACCACGTGCTCGCGGCCCGTGGTGCGCGACGCGGCCACCGTGAACAGCTGCCGCCGCTCCCACGCAGCGCGCAGCAGCCCCAGCACCTGCACATACCACGCACATAATACAATACAATACTTTGGAAAATCTAAGATAGACTAATTAAAATGTTTTCTTGATATACAGCTACTAACATTAGCGTAAATGAGGTAAATGATTGTATACTTGGGGAGTGCTTTCAGCCGGGATGGAACATGTGATTTAGATGTAGACAGGCGTGTCGCTGCCGGGAACAAAGTCAATGGTGCCCTGAATGCGTTAGTCAAAAGGTAAGGCGTAGTGGAGAGTGCACGCCTTGCAATACATAACGCAGTGTTAGTGCCGATTTTGTTATATGGCAGCGAAACCTGGGTATGCCAGAAAAAGCATAAAAGCAAGTTGAATGCAGTGGAGATGCGATCTCTTCGTAAAATGTGCGGCGTTACCATAGCCGACCGAAAGCGAAACGAAGAGATTCGCAATATGGCAGGATTGAAATGTGACCTTATCACAAAAATTGATAGGGGCGTACTGCGATGGTTTGGGCACGTTGAGCGAATGAGTGAAGACCGAATGGTGAAGAAAATATATAGCGCTAAAGTAAATATTAAAAGGTGACCATGTGACCAAATTACTCGAAGAGGGGAAGGTCAAGAGTACTCGGATACGTCGTATATTTGGTCGGATCGGATACGTACTCGACTCGACCATGTGACCTATACGTGCATGTATGAAGAAGATAATGAACCTGAAAGAAGCGAAAGAGGTATGTAAGGATCGTGACACTTGGCGATCTGTTCTCTCTGGCTACCCCGTTAGGGATTGTGCGTGAAGATAAGTTTTAAGTAAGTAAAACATTAGCGTACAAACGCAATATGGTTATGAAAAAAGCATTTTAAAAACACAAAATTGCTTGATCTTGACGTGTCGAGAGTACGAGTAAAACACTACCTAATAACGCTTCACGTTATAAGACGTGCAACAGAATCATTTTTATTCAATAGAAATTACAATAATACTTGAAATAAAACTACTTTTACAGATTTTATCACATTTATTTCTACTTATTTTTGTTTTTCCCAATGTTTCGGGTACTTCGCAGCACCCATGGTCACAGAAGAAGACTAAGTTATATGACATTTTTTTCTTTTCTTTTTAACATTATCATGTATTCAACATTGTCATATATTTATTTGACATTCTCATGACATTGTTAACGAAAGCTTCAACTTAGTTAGTATTACTTTTTGATCCGCTCTATACAGAATGAGGTTTCAGTATCTTGAAATCTCACAGTATTATACTTAGATTTAGATTTAATTTTATTAAATCCGGATCCAATTAAGTTTTTAAACAATCCAGGCACCCACTCAAATACACACAAATAATTAATCAAAATCATTCGATCCGTAATCAAGTTTTAGCGAAACTAATGGACAGCAAGTAGAGAACAAGATTGAATAAAACTATATTTAAGGATTTTATCGCGTTAACCCTTAAAAGTTCGAAGGATCCAATTTAAATATCTCCTTGTAGACAACACCAAAGAGTATACTAATATTTAGAGGGACGCCTTATAACCAAAGAGTATAATATGATCACCAAGTTTACTCCAAACCATAGATGAGAGATAAGAGTACGATTCTTTTTAAATGTTATTTATCCACTTGAACGTCCAAGCGACGCGGCAACAATACCCTTGAACGTCCCGACCCCGGTCGTTGATGTTTTTACACGGTCGGATCCCGACCAGTTCGACTAAAACCGTTACCATGGAGAAAGTTCTTTACCTATATCAGAATAAAAATCACCCACAAAAAGCTAATGAAAATGCAGAATTTAATTATGATAATAATAATTTACTCAATTGACGTAAAACAGGTAAAAAAAGTGATTAATTTTAGAAATTTAGATGAACCCTAACATTTTATATTTTCTTCGTTAATATCGCAGTATAATTTTATTTATATAAACTTATTGTACAATTGATCTATGATCTACCCTATCCAATAATACCAATAACGTTATATGAATGTTAAGTATTTCTAGGCAAGAATACCTAAAATGTCGACATACTCCGTTCTAGAGTAGGTATGATCCCCGGGCGGCTATAAAATGTGGCAAGATGGCCGCCCGCTTAAAGGTCCGTTTACACGATTATTTGAGCATGGGTATATATATAAAATATAATTAAAAAAATATGTTTACAAAAACTTTATTTTTCTTAAATATAAATAGTAAAATATGTAAATGAAACACTTATTTATATATATATATATATATATATATATATATATATATATATATATATATATATATATATATATAAGTATTAGATATATTCAAAAAAGTTTTTTTAATCCGTTCTTTTTTAATTATTGGAAAAATAAATTCGCTGTAGGCAACATCATCATGTTGATGGCAACAACCACCACACCAATTAAAACCCATTATTTTCTTAATGTTTTACCATAACCGTTGAATGAAAAGAGAAATATCATAAAATTATACCTATAAAACAGCAACCACAATTATATGTTATATACAACGCTATTTCAAATTAATTAGCGAAATTTTTCCAAAAATTAAAAAAGATGTCTGATCCCAAAAAGAATTGTTTCGGAATATATCCCCGATACTGATCCTATCGCCGGAGTTTCTGTAATGTTTTATAATGGTGCAGTGCTAAATTAAATAAAAAAGCAGCCATATTTTGTTTATAACTATACCTATAAACCTATAAAACAACAACCATTTATATGTTAAAAATTTGCAGTGCCAAATAAAATAAAAAAGCAGTCACGAAAAATCATGTTAAATACACTCGTAATTTCTCGTTTGATGAACCCTTAATATGACACATATCATAAACGTTATGGGCGGCTGTAGTCACCCGTACATTAAACCTGGGGAACAAAATACAAAAACGTAAAATCCTTACTACTTTCACTATTTTCCTTTCACTTAAATGTATTTAAATATCGTTAATAACCTGTTTTACTAATTATAAGAAATATTTTATTAAAATAAATAATATACAATACAAGAACTTAATGAAAGACGGACACACAAAGGCGAAGTTATCGCATGTCGACTTATATCACATATAAAAACATCATAACAGACTTTGGATTTATAAAACTTGAAGATATACGAAAAGAAAACATCCTGAGGATTATTTTCATATATAACACATACATATAGTACAAAAGTATAATAAATATATTATTACTTACATTTTAAATGAATAACTCACAGTAACACCGGCCACTACACAAGACTTGACACAACGCTTGTTTCTTTTTTTTTCAATGCCATCTGTTATCTGGCATGGACCTTTTACTAACCCATAGACGCGTTTTTTTTTAATATAGAGTCATTTAATATAACATTCATAAAGCTTTTTGTAACATTCTATAGATCAAAATTCGTTTAAAGTTTAGAAGTCAGAGAGGCCGCTCTAGTCGCCCTAACGTTCAACAGGAAAAAGTTTTAGGCGACTATGGTCACCCGGACCTGAGTGGTTATAAGAATATCATTCTTAAAGAATATAATTTTTAAAGAATTATATTCCTATAAATAACATTTCAAAATAATTATATTAAATGAATTATATTATTATATAATTTACATATAAACTTAAAAACTTGGTAATATTAAGTTCCTGAAAGACACGCTGTACTTTAAAAATTATATGCGTGTTATGATATTCAGTGGAATCTCTAAACTCGAAACTCGAAGGTCGAAATCCTCAGTAAGTCGAAAAAAATTGCCATTCTTTTCCGCTGAGCCCCAAAATACGCGGTATCTCGAATTATTAGACTTTGTAACTCGAACAAAATGTTATTTCCCTACGAAATATTGATAATAGATATTTATACTCTATAACTCGAATTTCAAAAAGGAGACTCCGCAAGCCGTAGTTAGTAAACAATAATGACGTCTTACTTGGAATTTCCCGAAATAATAGCAATAAAATCCGGATTCTTAATCGTAAACTAGCTGCTGCGTCACCTGCCGAGCGTCGGCCGAGCTCGGCGGGTGACGCGGCAGCTATGCGTATCTTGAAAATTTCAACTATAACGCCCGGTAGTCAAACATGAAACGTCCTATAACTCAAAAAGTATGGACATTAGAAAAAAAAGTTTCAAACAAAAGTTTTGAAAAATAAACTGATCTTTCAAAATAAATGTATGTAAAATGAGTTATTGGCCGCGATAGAAAAACCGGTTCATTAAATGGGCCATAAATCATAAACGGTAAGTTTTAGAAAAAAGTTTACATGAAACAAAAGATGCGAAATTTTATTTTCTACAATAATGGTTTATATGACTTTTGCCTTAAAGTGCATAGTTTCCGAGATATCGGCTGAAAACGTTTTTTCAAGATGGCGCTTGAAGCGCCACCTGTTCATTAAATGGGCCATAAATCGTAAACGGTAAGTTTTAGAAAAAAGTTTACATGAAACAAAAGATGCGAAAATTTATTTTCTACAATAATGTTTTGTATAACTTTTGCGTGAAAGTGCATAGTTACCGACATATCGGCTGAAAACGTATTTTCAAGATTGCGCTTGAAGCGCCACCTGGATCTGTCGGCATTTTGTGATTTTATGCTGAATAAGTGATCCTAAACTTCATAAAAAAATAAAATTGATTTGGAAATTTAGTGCAATGTTAAATTCTATTTTTACTGTACTATTTCATTAAACATTTTATTTGTCAACAACGTCTTACAATCGTCGTTTCTCTATCGCTCAAGTGACCTTCATACAAATAATTCGATATTTTCATTGTTGATAATTTTTATTTTTGGATAAGAACATGGTAATGACTCTAAGTTATATTTACCTTCATTTACAAAAAATTGTCTTTGGCCAAACCTACTATACTCTTTGGGTTGACCATAGGTCTGACTAATAGGGCCAATATACTGACGTACACGAGTGGTTAAATTAACTACTTTAACTTATTTTTAAATTCCCGACGTTTCGGGTGCTTTACAGCACCCATGGTCACAGGGGGGCGGACTGAGATGTTTGACGTTCCAATGTCATAGTTAGCTC